AAAGGCCCCGTTTACACTAGTGCGTTTTAGTTTTAAAACGGCGTTTTAGAATGAAAACGATCCGCGTCCACACTCGCGTTTCACCCAGCGTTTCTGAACTGCTCTCCGTCCACACCAAAACGCTGAAAACGCACATCACGTGACCACACACACACTCAGGCAAGCGCTGTAGCCAATCTACCCAGATGAGAGCTGTGCTAGTCGGACTTCTCATCAAGCATCTCCCGCTGGATCTAACCTCACTATATTTATTAAACGGAATATTTCTTTCATCTTCTTGTCTTTATTTAACGACATATTCATTGGACATTGGAATCTATTACTTGTTCTCAGGTAACGTGTTTTGGCTAAGCGCAAAGATAAGTTAATGATTAATGTAAGCACGTACATTCTGTATATTGACTGATCGCTTGCCTTTATTTCCTATAATGTATAAACTTATTGTATGTTATACTTTTATAATGGCCATTATCGATTAAAACTGATATTCAGCAAAGAGAGGGTGTGTTTCGTATTTTCACTGAAATTGAAAGGAGACAGTTGTTGTAGGCTCCGTTTTGTTATAAATATGCACACAGTGAATATGACGCTCATATTTGCAGCACGGCGCCTCAACATTTTTGCTGTCTGTTTAGTTGTTAATATTAAAATGAAAATAGGCAGTTCCTTATATGTTTACATTTTATTGTTGAGAAAGTAAAACAACGTAGCCAGGGTGATGTGAATGAAGTTATAAAGTACACTGTTCCCTTTGAAGATTTACCCGTGTCCTCGGTATAGTCTGTTTTCCATATCAAACTGAGAAGAAGAGACTGCAGCCATGATCAAACTTGCGAAGTTTTAACTTACACGGAGAAGATGCAGGACTGAACTGTGCGTGTTAGGCTACTTAATATTCAGGAAAAGCCCCAATCAGAGAGGCGAATGTCTGCAGCCCCGCCTCCGTTTTCAAATGTCTCCGTTTTCCATCATCCACACTGAGACGGAGCAGCTGCGTTTCAGAATGAAAACGGCCTCTCCAGCGTTTTCGAAACGCTCCGTTTTCGGCGCTCAAGAACTCCGGCGTAGTGTGGACGGATGGCGTAACCGTAGCAAAACTTATGCGTTTTCAAACTAAAACGCATTAGTGTAAACGGGGCCAAAAACTACTGGGTTAAAAATCACCTAGTTTGGGGTTCAAACCCAACCATGAGTTATGTTTAATCAGCAGTTGGTTTGATTTATTTGTACTTCAAAAGTGATTTCACATTTCTAGTTTGCCTTAAATACTGTTAAAATGTCCAATCCACATCAATTAACTGTTTACACTAAATCAATGGTCTCAAACTCAATTCCTGGAGGGCTGCATCTCTGCACAGTTTAGCTCCAGCCACCTCCAACTCATTTATTCATTCATCTTCTTTTCCACCTAGTACCTTAAATAATCTAGGGTTGCAACAGCGTAATGAACCGCCAAGTTATCCAGCACATGTTTTACGCAGCGGATGCCCTTCCAACCGCAACACATCAATAAGAAACATCAATCCATACACACTCATTATCTCTCTCTCTCACACACACACACACACACACACACAAACAACGATCAATTTTAGCACACCCAATTCACCTGTACGTCTTTGGATTTGTGGGGGAAACCGGAGGAAAAGTCACCGCGAACACAGGGAGAACATGCAAACTAAACACAGAGACGCCAACTGACCCAGCCGAGGCTTGCTGTGAGGCGAACATGCTACCCACTGAGCCACCACGTCACCCTAACCTCCAGCTCACACCTGCTTAATAGTCTCTAGTAGTCTTGAACACTTTAATAAGTTGGATCAGCTGTGTTTGATTAGGGTTGGAACAAAACTGTGCAGAGGTGCAGCCCTTCAGGAATTGAGTTTGAGACCTATGCTCTAAATCAGGGGTGTCCAAACTCGGTACTGGAGGGCCAGTGTTCTGCTATATTTAGTTCCAACCCCAATTAAACACACCTGAACCAGCTAATAAAGCTCTTTCTAGGCATACTAGAAACTTAGATGGATATGTTGAAGGAAGTTGGAGCTAAACTATTCAGGACACCAGCCCTCCAGGACTGAGATTGGACACTGCTGCTGTAAATGGTAGTTTGTCTTTATTTGACCCTATGTTGGATGACACCAACCCAGCATTTATTTAGATGTTTTTGTGCAAATAGCATCATCTACATTTAAACCAATTGACAATTTCAACAGTTTAAACAATAAATGGTACATTTTAACCAGTATTAATGACCCAAATATACAACTCATGCCAGTGTGTTGTGTAATTCTGAACCGGAGCTGCTGTTAGAAAAATAGCCACTCTGTGTTTCTCAAATCTGAATCCTTTATGACTTGCACACAAACAAACACTACACTGTACAGAGTTAGATTAAGGCTGACGTCATGCTTCAAAGTGAACGAGTCTCTATGACGAAAAGACATTAAAGCCAACTTTGATGGAAAAACAAGAACTGATAGCAATTAGTTCAACTGCTGTCCATTTCTCAAAGGATGAAGAACACAATGTTCCTTTGTAAGGGTTCATGTATACTAAAAGTCGACTGAATATCATTCATGTTTTTGAGTATCGTGAGAAAAACCAAACTCACAGTTAGACAGTTTTACAACCAAACTAATATGTGTCAGAAAAAAAACAGGTTATTTATTTTCATCCCGAAAAAAAAAAGATCATTCTAAGAAATGCTGAATAATTTAAACCCAGACCTTGAAATAACCAAGCATTTTTACAAAGTATGTGTACTTTGGTAATGTGGAAAAGCTGTAATTATATGAAATGTTCAGATGCACAAACCTCTAAACCCCAAACAGGATTTTTGGATTGCCTTTACAGCTGAACAAAAATATTGGAGGCCCTGCTAAAAAACAAACAAACAAACAAAAAAAAAAACAGCATATGCTGGTAAGGTATGTTTTGATGCTGGTATGCTGGTCTTGCTTGTTTCAATGCGGGTTTTGCTGGTCTCAATGCTGGTTTTGTTGGTTTCAGTGCTCGTTTTGTTGTCTCAATGCTGGTCCTGCTGGTCTCAATGCTGGTTTTGCTGTTCTTAATGCTGGTCAAGAGCAGCACTGAGACCAGCAAAACCAGCATTGAGACCAGCACTGAAACCAGCAAGACCAGCACTGAGACCAGCAAAACCAGCTTTGAGACCAGCAAGAGCAGCATACCAGCATCAAAACATACCTAACCAGAATATGCTGGATTCTCTCAGCAGGGTAATTTGCTAATTTTAGAAGAAATTTTCAGATGCCTAAACTTTGTCTTTTTAACTAAACATCCATAGTTAAAAGTAAAAAAAAAAAGTATTATCTATCATCATTTATTCACCCTTTACTTGATCAAAATCTATTTGAGTTTCCTTCTTGTTGAACACTTTCTTGTTGAGCATAAAAATGGTGGACCAAATGGTTGATTTCCATAGTAATTTTTGTTCTGCTGTGATAGTCAGCGGGTCCCAGCATTCTTCTGATCAACAAGAAAGTATTCAAGAAAGAAACTCAACTAGATTTTGAACAAGTAAAGGGTGAGTAAATGATGACAGATAATACTTCACTTTTTTGGGTCAAGTACTTTACCTATGGATGTTTCATTAAACATGCATATAATTACAGCTTTTTCACATTACCAAAATAGAAATACAACACTGTAAAAAATGCCAGGTTATTTTAACCCAGTTTTGAGTTACTGTGAGGCTATTGTGCTATCTATCTACTGCGCCACCGTACTGCCCTTTTCTGACACAATATTAGTTTTTTTCCCCCCAAGTTTTTTGTTCAACAGAAAAAAGAAACTCAAAGTTTTTTTTAAAAAAAGGAGAGTAATTAAGTAATTTTTTACTTAAGTAAATAAGCGATTTTCATTTTAGGTATGAACAATCCTTTTAATGACCTTAACTTGACAAAAACTAAAGATACCAAGAACTATTTTTATATGACAAACAATTAAAATGATAACCAGCAAGTCAAAACACAGTATTGTTTACAAAAATAGACAAAATCCTCAAAAACAGAATGACTCAGGGAACCTTTCTCTTTGTAGCCCAGACTCGTTTTTACTGACATAATACTTGCACAAATGGTATTGCGATCACACTAGAAACTCATGATCAAACTAATGTTGTGAACTCTTTGGTAGCTTGAGGGATCCCAAACTGAGCATGCCGTTGTCTATCCTCTCACCCACAATTAGTTATGGAGAGCTGGGTAATCTGTTCAGTTATTAAATGTAAAATATAACACAAAGCAAGTATTATATTTCAAGTTAGGGAGGTTATTGTTGTGGCATTGAGGAGGAAAGGGGCTGATGATGAGGACTCTATCACTAATCATGAAGTCAGTCATGCAGGGTCGGAAGAAATACCAGTCAAATGAGTAAACTACTACAGAACTTGTGCAACATGACTTACTGAAAACTAAGCTGAAATGGTGAGAGATCACAAGAGCAAATCAACTGGATTCACTGCAAACCAAATGCATTAGTGGGATGTACAGTAGATGACAAAAACACAAGGTAGGCTATTTCATTGTTTATGTCTTGAATGCTAATTTATTTATCTGGATTTTTTTTACTTTTATCATGTGTTTTTCCCTCTATACTCTACATTTTAATGTGTTGTTACATTGTATTTTGACCAATAAGAAGTAAATGATTTTGGAAAACTAAACTTACCAGCCGATGTGTAATCTCTCATTTCAATTTAATTTGCAGACAGAGAGCGGGAGGGGATTTATCACTCTTTAAGGTAGCTATAAACGTTTGACAGTCTTTTATTTTAGATAGATGAGCAAATCAAATCTTGAACAGAAGTGACATTTAATGTTTCCAATTTTTACACGTAGTTCACTGATTAGGGTACCTGTGTTTTATAGGAGTGTCTAAACGAACGAGCATACCCATATTTGGAAACTGTGATTACCGGATGGGCGAGGTCACCTGGTTTCGTCAGTTCCTAAGACTCTCTCTACCTGCTGAAGACCATTTCCTCAATTTCGCGGCTGAGAGGACGTTGGAAGGAAGAGCTGCGATTTATTTAACACACTCGAGGGATTAAAACGCTAAAGGATTTGACTTGTAGCGAGTCAAATGGCTTGTGTAACAACTGTGGGATTAGGAGTTATCTTTTTTCTTTTTCAGGTAAGACTTTTTTTCTTCTCAATGGCGTCGAGCTCTTGACCGAAACTCGTCGAGGACAATGAAGGTTTTGGTTTGTTTTAAACCGTTTTTATTTGTTGTAGGTCTTTTCGAGTGGATATACGCATATGTCGATATGTACACCTGGGTTTGAGTTGGAGGAATTTGTTTTTAAAGTACACCGAAATCACCTTCACAGTGGCAAAAGACTAGGCAAAGGTAAGTTAGGTTGTTTTCGGTAATCTCTGTAAAATGCTGAAGCAAATGTGTTAAATTACCTTAACAGTTAAATCTTTCTAGAGGACAGGAGGTGTTTGATATCGATTTTCGAGAATGCTAATATTTGCGTTAGTTAGTTTTCACTCCAGTTTCCGCCAAATGCCATGACTGTTTTAAACTGCATACCAAGTACGTACTTGTACTTTAATTTGCTGCTGCCACTAAAAAGTACCTTCTAAACTGTGTCTGTATGAACTATAATTTATTGGTTGTGTTGGCATCCTAATGTTGTCTGCCTACGGTTTTAATTTAGATTTATTACTTTTTGCCACATACGTTGCTGTTTAATGTTACTGTGTAAGTATGCAATCTCGGGTGTAACGTTAGCCCATGTTGTCAAAATTGAGTTGGTTTTATATTTACAGCTTAGGACGTGTTCCCTAATACAGTTTCGGAAAAGAATTGTCAATACTAAATAGGAAAATAATATTAGCATCTAATGAATTTTAAAGTAAACGTTGTTGAGTCATTTGAATTTTGCTAATATTGCCTTTAAGTCATATTTATGTTTGATTTCACACTGAATATTTAAAGTATCATATTAAACCATATAGAGCATGTCACAGCTTGTCATTAAATGAATATGCGGATATAAAAACAACCTTACCTCAATCAAAAAAAAGACATCTTCCATTACAGTTTATTAAACGTATATTTTAGTTTTGTTTTAGTCTTGAAAATGTCAGGCTAGCCCACTGATTTACAAATATGTTAAGTATCTATTCAGGTAAAGTTGTGTTTTACCTGGTGTGTAAAAGTGCTCATAGTATGCTTTTTTATGAGTTTTTTTTTTTTGTATTATGCGGTGAATCCCACCATTTTTATTATAAATAACATTTGTTTTCATGTCAGTATGTAATATCAGGTGTTAAAGGAATATATGACAAATCATGATTCAGTAAGCCTTGTGGGAATTATTTGATAATGCAATGAACTATACAATGTTTTAAAATAATATGACAATTTAGGATAACTTCTCTTCATTTTAATTTTAAAAGGTTTAAAATATAATTAAGTTAAATCATTAAGCCAGTCTTTAGTGCAGTAGGGCTTTTTGTTTATTTTATTTTTTTCCAGAAATCTTAATATGACTTGCTGTTAGCATCACATTTTATTGTTACTCAGTCATTATTCAAGTTTTGTGGGAGTTGATGTTTTTTACATTTGTTTTTATATGTCAGTATGTGAGATCAGGTGTTTAAGGAATCTATCTGATAAATCATGCTTCAGTAAGCCTCTATAGGTGTTGTGAAATGAGACCAATTCAGATGATCTCACCCTGTGAGTTTCTGTGGGTGTGGGACCAGGAGACAAGGGTCAGCATAAGAGTCAAGATAATCGCTTTCATTATTGTTATATTTAAATTTGTAGTGCCATGTGAAATAATGGCCACAGTGTTTTGAGTGTAAACAATCCTTATTTTTTATTTTTTTTATTTTTTTTCTTCAAATTGTTTGCCCTCACTCGGGTACTTTCCATGAAAGACTGATCCCAGTCGAAGCTTTTATACAATTTTAGTTTCAATTGTATGCAGTCCTGCTATAACTTGTTTCATAAATGTTGCTTGTGTAGTGATTGTAAATGTCTTATGATCTGGAAAATGTAATTATACTGGTTTAGCCTTTCTTATTAACATTTTTTTTCTACTACACAGTAATAGTTTTTTTTGGCTATTGTTTAAAAGCTTTTATATATGTTTTGTCCTTTTATTTCATCACTTTAGTTTCATGATGCAATTGATTTGTATTGGAACGTCTTTAAGGAAGCATCCTTTCAGTTTCCCATTATTAGTGGCCTTTTCCTAGGAGCTATCTGTTTTCACCACATCCGTTTAGACTCTCTAATGGATTTCGGCAATAAAGCCAAAGCAAACCTCTGGTGCTTGTTAAATGAATTATGTCATTGTAGTTTAGTTTTGTTAGAACAGTTAACTCACAGGTTTTAATAATCATCTATTAGTGTGATGTAGGTTTGATCAAAGTTTGATAGAATAAAAGTTTTGTGACATGAGAATTAAATATAATTGTAAAGTCTCTACCACTGCAATCGCTGAACTAACAATAAATGAACACTAAAGTTGTGTTGGTCATCATTTTATACAGTAAAATTGCCTTCTTAAGTAGAGAAATGTACATTTTTCTATTTTTTTTTAATACATTTTTTTTTGTCCCCCACAGTGACTTTCAATAACTGTGATGGAAGAACAAGAACGCTCTTTCAGTCCATTGACAAGCGGTTTGAGATAAACACTGATGGAACTGTTACACTGAAGAGACAGGTGACACTTCATGAGGGCCACAAGGTGTTTTCTGTGCATGCCTGGGACTCCAGTGGCATGAAGCACACGGCATCTGTCAGAGTTGAGCGTGTCCCTGCACAGGTACTTGAGGTTTCTTTAAGAATATCTTGTGCAATGCAGTGAAGTACAAGCCTGACCTCTGCTGGACATTTCAGTTTGAGTTTACAAATTTTTTATGTTATATTTTTTCACTGTTTTTACCCTTATTTAATATTTCTAAAAGGTATATAAATGTGATATTTGTTTTTAAATGGTAGTTAGCTAAATTTTAAAGGGCACCTATGGTGAAAAATCTACCTTTCAAGCTGTTTGGACAGACGTGTGTAGGTATAGTGTATAGACCGTCAAATGAAGGTGATATAAACACAACCAGTCCCTTTTTTTTCCCCCCAATTTAACAACACAAAACCAGTGGACCAATGGGATTTGTTTTTCAGACCGACCGCAACTTGACGTAGGAGTGCGATCCACCCGCCCACCGAATTGATTTATAGCTGCATATTAACATGTCCCGGTAGTCACGTGTATAATCATATCAACAAGACAGGACGTGCGCAAAGCAACTGGGAATAAAAAGTCTGGTTAGTTTGCTAGGATGATCAAATGTGATCAAGAGTGAGTTTGACAAGTTTAATATGTTTTAAAACAGTGCATGCGTGTAATGAATTACAGTGATTTGCTTCAGCTTTACTTTATCAGCACAGCTGCATGTCTGAACAGTTATAAAGGAAGACGCTTCAATTCTAGTTTATCGACTTTAAATAAGGTTTTATTTGTACATTAACATAGCAGATATCCATACAGCAGTGGATATTAACCTGTATCCTGCCACATTTCACAGCCATGTCACCCTGCAGCCCAAGGCTTGTCACTCACTGAAGCTAGACAGGGCTGAGCCTGGTCTGTACCTGGATCGGAGACCACATGGGAAAACTAGGTTACTGTTGGAAGTGGTGTTAGAGAGGCCAGCAAGGGGCGCTTAACCTGTGGTCTGTGTGAGTCCTAATGACCCCGGTAAAAGTAAAGGGGACACTACACTGTCAGTTGGCTCCGTCTTTCGCATGAGGCGTTAAACCGAGGTCCTGACTGTGGTCATTAAAAATCCCATGGCACTTCTTATAATGAGCAGCGGTGTAACCCCGGTGTCCTGGCCAACGTTCCTCAATCATCCCTTACGATCATGGCCTTCCAATGATCCCCATCCACCAAATTGGTTTTATCACTGTCTCTCCACTCCCCCAATAGCTGGTGTGTGGTGAGCGCACTGGCGCCGTTGTGCTGTGGCTGCCGTCGCATCATCCAAGGTGATGTTGCCACTGGTGGTGGTGTGAAGAGACCCCCCTCATAATTGTGAAGCGCTTTGGGTGTATGGCCATACAGAATTAACACGCTTTATAAAAACACAAGACGTATTTGCTTGCAAAAAGAGTGCAAAGCTAAACGTGTGTGTGTGTGTGTGTGTGTGTGTGTGTGTGTGTGTGTGTGTGTGTGTGTGTGTGTGTGTGTGTGTGTGTGTGTGTGTGTGTGTGTGTGTGTGTGTGTGTGTGTGTGTGTGTGTGTGTGTGTGTGTTGAAGATGTAACCTTTGCCTGTGTGCACTGGTGTTGTTGGAGAGAATAAAGTTGTTCTATGTGTATCCTGCATTAAGTGTATTAATAGCGACAAAAACCAAAAGTTACAACACGAAGTTCGCCTAACTTTAAAATGATTTTGAGGTGGAGGAAGTGAGAAAGGGCCGTCATCGCAGCTTGCGCTTATGTCTGTTTACCTTTCGAAGCCCCAGCCATCACGCAGTTATCCTCATCAGTCACGAAGGACAACGCTTGTGGTGGGCAAGTTGTTGGAGGCCCTGAGTCAGGAAAATACTGAGTTTGATGGTGATGATAACTGCACTGGCATGATCTTCTTGCAGTCAAACAATGCAAAAATGCTTTAACGTGTAGTGTACGCATTACAGCCTCACATTTGACAAGCTTTAAGTGAGTGGGCGTAACCGCAGTGAAATATTGATTTTCAAGACAGCCTCGCCACAGCTAATCACCAGCATTTGATCCAGGCACGTTACAGATGCCGCAGGTTATCTAGCTCACTGACGTTGACAAGATTATACCCTTGGGTATCAAAATTTGTTACCAAACAATAATTACTTTTTCCATACTCTAAGCACCGACTGAATCATCTTAATACTATAGAGTATCGAACTCGATACCCAGCATTACTCTTATGCAGCGCGTGCTGGCAATTCCCGCAAAACTGAAAGTGAAAGTATTATACGCACCCATTTATTAGCTATTTTAAAAGCAGAGGAAAAGAGGAAACCCCCACGGTAGGGCTGTGCATTTAATCGAAAATCCAATTTCGGTTTTTATCAATTATGAAAAACCATTAATCAAGATAAACGATTATTCCATCACATACCGCCCCCTTTCGATTTGTACATGTGTTGCTCTGCGAAGCTCAGTACCTTGCGAAAATGACAAAGCATGTGCTGTAATGTTACTTTTGCAGCACAGGATGCGCATCATTCATATTTTTAAAAGCGTGATAGAACAGGCCTCGGACAGGTTGTGTGTGTGTGTGTGTGTGTGTGTGTGTGTGTGTGTGTGCGCGCTGGGCTTAGCCTCGGACAGCAGAACACACACGCATCTAATGCCATCTTAATGTGAGCACTTTAATGGTCAAATTCATGCAAATTTTGTCAGAGCGCGGTGTTTAGTGTTTATTCATATTAACCCTCATTTGTGTAATAAACAAACAAGTTGAGAATCAAGACACGTGAAAGAGAAACCATATCAGAGCCGCACTATTCTTAAAGTGACAGGCTGACAGCGTCCAATATACCTGCTGTTGCTGACTGTTTTATTATTAATCAATAATAAAATGAAAAATATAGTGAAGATGGTTAAAGCACAGTTTAAACATAACATATTTAATTACTCATTTCTAATAACTTATTTATTTTATCTTTGCTATGATGACAGCACATTATATTTTACTAGATATTTTTCAAGATACTAATGTTCAGCTTAAAGTCACATTCAAAGGCTTAATTAGGGTAAATAGGCAGTTCATTGTATAACAATAGTTTCTTTTGCAGACAATCCAAAATATATATTGCTTGAGAGGCCTAATAATATCGAGCTATTAAAATAGATTTTAAAATATTTAAACCTGCTTTTATCATAGCTGAAATAAAACAAATAAGCCTTTCTACAGAAAAAATTTTTTTATTGGAAATACTGTAAAAAAAATCCTCTGTTAACATCATTTGGAAAATATTTATATATAAAAATAAATTCACAGAAGGGCATATAATTTTGACTTCAACTGATAATCGTTTTGAATTATCGTGATTACAATTATGACCAAAATAATGGTGATAATGATTTTTCCCGTAATCGAACAGCCCTACCCCACGGTCATTCCGGTATTACCAGTGTTGTCTCATGTCGATTAACCGGTGGGGAAATTTCCTTGTCACAACCCTAACCTTTGCTCATTTATTTATTTTTATTTATTTTTTTTTTCTATGTCCTGTCTGAGGCGCCAAACTCTCCTGGTATCAGTGCACAACAGAGGCAAACTGTGTTAACTCTGCGTCACGCTCAACTAATGTTATTTTTAATTATCAAACGTCTCTGTGTCGCAATGAATCGATTATGAAATTCGTTGTATGAATTTGTTTTTGTCATCGATTATAATCTAATTGATTCGTTGCTGCAGCCCTAGAGTGAAGTACATGGAAATGGCAAAGCATAAGCCTAAAACAGTATTGTTTTCTCGTTCTCATTCTAACAAATCTTTTGAGTGAAAAATCAGACCAACTGAAACAAAATAGACTTGTGTTGCAAATGGAATCCCTAATGTATGTCCCAGTAGTGTTGCACGATAAACCAATACTAAAAGTATCGTCTTGGCTTGGCTCTCAAACTGATACGATTCAGCAATTTTTTTTTTTTTTAATGTCTTTTATTATTATTATTTTATTTTTTTGGTACTGATACTTTTGAGTGACAGTTGTAGTTGCGAGTGCTCCTCAATAGGGCTCAGTTTAGTGGCCGCATGCTACTACGGCAAACTGTGTGGCTGCATCTGAAACCGCATACTTCGATATTATGTAGAAAAACAGTATGCAAGCAGAGTAGTATGTCTGAAATCGCCATAGTACTTAGTAGGTACTGCATTTCAATTTAAATGTATTAATTGACGTTTGGAAAAGTATATTCTAAACAGTATAAATGAAACTTGGATGTACTACATCCACCTATCCCATGACCTACCCGTGCCAGTTGCGTCATTTCACTTCTATTCATAAATTCGCTTGCAGTGCATCAATGGATTGTGTGGAGTCCATCTGATGCACACTTCAGAATCTCACCGGAAGTAGTAGGTCATCCGGGTACGTCTCGCATACTATTTTTATTTTTTTTTATTCTATAAATATGAACATACTATGCTTGCATACTGTTTTTACCTTTCTATATAGAATAGAAGTATGCAGTTTTTAGATGCAGCTATAGAATTCATCCATATATGAATGTATAAATATATAATTATATATGAATATGACAGGATCACTGTGTCATGAACAGTGAGGACCAAGGAATGTCTTCAGGTTCTTTGAGAAGCAGACCAAAAGATGTCATGTGCGTTTTGTCTATAGTTTAGTTTAGTTTATTTATTTATTTATTTATTTATTTATTTATTTATTTATTTTTAACCAAGCTGTAACACTTTTTTGTTAAAACAGCTCAGCTGGAGTACTGACAAAATAAGTTTTTATTTTTATATTTATTTAAATTTTTAAAAATGGTTCTACTCTTTCAAATGACAGCAAGTGTTTATTTATAGATAATATTTTCATTCATTCATTTTTTTGCCGCTTTTCCGGGGCTGGGTTGCAAGGGAAACAGTCTTAGGAGAGAACCCCAGACTTTCCTCTCCCCAGACATTTCCTCCACCACCTCCGCGGGGGTACCCGAGGCGTTCCCAGGCCAGTCAAGAGACATAGCGGGGTTATTCTCACGAAACCAGTAAAACAACATGGCACTTAAGATTTAAAGTATAAAACTTAGTAATTTG